AATAATTCAGTGGTACACTTACAACTGTGGATATTCACTGTTTTCAGTGATGATCCAGCGATTGACGTTTAGAGAGAGATTGTCTCGGAAATGAAAACGTTAATTAAATTGTTTACACATTAGAAAGATTGATAAACATAAATGAAGTAGACACCGACATTTATTTCTCATAGTAACAAGATACTTTAGAAAAACATCTATTAGATCAAGATAGAAAAAAGGATATCTCGAACGTATTCCATTATCGCGCTTGATGCATACTCGATGACTTCCGTCTATCGCAGTGCGCGATTGAATACAAAGTTGGATTAGATGAATCCCGCCGAGTCATTTATACGCGCCTATTTATAGCCGCGGCAGACCAGAACGCATGTATGGAAAACGCGTGGAAATTCTTATGCATGCAGCTTTTTTTAGCGGCAAATTGCCTCGTAAATTGCGCCGAGGATTGAAACCGCTTGGCGTTGAAGCGAAACAGACGGAGTTTGTGTGCTACCAGTTGATGAGATTAGATCGAGTAATCTCAGTAATCGATGCACGACGTATACGTATGTTGATAAACAAGTCCGACGTCTCGGTAGGGAGACTCGATGCGTGTCTTGCGACATGACATTTACAATTCAGGTTCCATTTTACAACCGCTGTTTGCAGAAGCGGGCGCGGATTTTCGTGTCGGAATCACGTTTACGAGGGGCGAGCACGACAGGCCTCTGCCTCTTTAAAACCGGGCAAAAACATCCGAGGCTTCCGTAACCTGTCGTTAACCCAGTTAGGAATGCCGTCATTCCAGCGCATGGCACGCATCGCCCGCTTTCAGCCCGTTTCGCAATCATTCCAAGACCGACGAACTGATTCCCTAGATAAGAGCCCGGCAATTAATGATCGCAATTGCAATCAATTGCGCCCATAACTCGCGGGATTGAACGGGAAAAAAATGCTGCCGCCTGACCGCGCATCGAGACACGTTCACGCACATACGCCTCTTTTATACGGAAATTAAAAGAGGCCACGAAATCTAGTAAACTCCAACTGAGGCCCGGTTTCACCAACGTTGTTTAAGTTTAAGCTTCATGCGTTCTTTGTCTCTTCCCAACTGTCACTTTAAAAAGAGACAAACATGAGTTAAACTTGTAAGATTAAAGTTAAGCGACGTTTACTAAAATTCTTATGCATTAACTTAGCTCTTAAACAGTTACATAATATCAATATTACAATTTCTTACTCAACAATGAAACTATTACGCGGAACACGTGTTATGTTACATTCAAGTTGTCGAGTGAGAAATTATAATATTGATGTTACGTAACTATTGGTGTTTACTGGGAATGGATTAAGCAACCGACTAACCCGGGTTTTCGCTAACTTTGACCCTAGTTTAATTCATTAGTTTAATTCTAAGGCCCATTTTCACCAAACGTCGCTTAACTTTAATCTTAGCTTAACTCACACTTGTCTCTTTCTAAAGTAACAGTCGGCAAGAGACAAAGAGCGAATTAAATTAAGCTTAAAGTTAAGCGGCGTTGGCGAAACTGGGCCTTGAAAAGAGACAAAGAATGAATTAAACTAAGATTAAAGTTAAGCGACGTTGGTGAAACCGGGCCTAAAGGTCCAGTTTTCAAGTAACGTTGATCGTCATTTCTCTCGTCGAATGGTCGGAAGGTAACGATTCCGGCTAAATTCGACGTAAGATTTTCCCCAACGAGTCCGAGAGGCCGCGGTCCCCTGCGAAAATTCGAGCGTGTCACCTCGCTTCCGCGGTTGCTGACCGCGCGAAATTCCGCAGGGCGGAAGGTGTCGATCGACCGAATGAAGAGCAGGCGGACGTTTAATTGTGAATCGGCGTGGGAGGAGAGACGCGCGGCTGAAAGAACGCGTGAGACAGCTTACGTAGCTCAACTACGTAACCGAGTTTGCCGCTTACACGTAACGACGACAATTACGACGGCGACGTAATCAATCCGGAAAGGACCGGAGGACACACGAAGATAAATTGCGAGACCGCTCTCTCGCTCCCCCTTTTCTCGCCCGGCTCCTCCCGCAATCATTGAATGGACGTGATATCGAATGAGAAATAATGTGACAATCGGAAGGAAAGTACTTTTCGAATGCGAAGGGAAGTTTCGACGAGCGGCAAGATCGAGGAACGAATCGATTTCATAACACCCTGCTCTCGAGAAAAATGCCAGATTTTCGCAAAGAATTTTTAACTCTCGAAAAATTTCCGCCCGACAATTGGAAGATCGCAGCAAATCTTTCTCGACGCGTGTCTCCGCAATTCACTTCGTGACCAGTAGGGGCCAGTATTCATAGTCCGATTTTATATCCAAGACAGCCTCAAGATCGTCTTTAGATACATTCAAGACGGCTTGAAATTTATAAGATCCGACTATAAATACCGGCCTGTACACAATTGATTGCGTAAAAATTCCGAAGGTGGAGTTTTCGCTTTGTGGAGGTCGGCTTTCAATGAAAGTGACACGGTCGCGAGAAAGCAGGGCAGTTTGTTAAAATATAATTAGTGTATCGCACCGGGGCGCGCTCTCGGCGAAAATCGATCGTCACGGCAGGCACGCACGCACTCTCGTCGCGTACATACATACAGGGGGGGGGGGGGGGTGCGTGCGCCTTGAATGCCCCGATTCGCTGCATGGGAAGATTGATACGGCGACACTTCAGAAGTGCGTCCACGTAATCGTACGGGGCGCGCTTGCCTTGGCATAAATTCTCGGCGCGTAAGATACCGTGGCACCTGTGCGCGTTCATTCATGGGTAAGCGTCACGTTCGCACACGTGGGACTTGACGATAGAAACGAACGCCTCTATCCCGAATCACCCTTCCCTACGGAAGTGACGTTTTAGTACCGCGAGTGTCTTCAGTCAGACACTCCGAGTGCCGGGCTGATCTCGGCATTGAACTTGATAGAGCTGACGAAATTTTAACATTTGCTTCTGTCGGTGTCTTTAAATATTTAGTAAAATTACTCGCAATTGGATGAACGACAGAGTAAAGACTTGTTGCTGTTACAAAATGGATAATGGGGTCTTTGCGATAATTTACGCGTCGTCCAGATATGGATGACACAGTGCTAGAAATGTTAAACGATTTCCAAGATTTCATCGCGAACGCTGCGAGGAAAAGAAACGTCGCGTGTAGAATATTAATTGCCGACCTACTGTCTTTCTCGTCGACGACTGAATTACCACCTTTATTAATCCAGGAGAAGGTTTTTCCAATATGATATCTAATAATAAGCGCGAATTCTCGTCGAAGGACGAACCGAAAATGCGTTTCAACAGACGCTTCATTAATTTTATTCATTTATTCAATTATTCAGTGTATTCTTTAGCTTCATCACAATTACATTTTCTTATCTGGATTATGATTACTTTTAACGAATTCTCGTACTTGTACATTTCGGAATATCCATTAGAATCTTATACATACACGGGAGAGAATTTTCTCTTAAAATTTACCATGAAAATCATGCAATCGTGGGACATCATGGCATTTTGAAGACCTTCATGGGGTTTTTTCGAAATTTTGCCATACATTCTATTAGTAAAATGTATAGAGGAAAGTCCTCTATTATGAGTTCCTGCTAAATTAATAGACATCATCTGTTGGCTCCACCATGAATTTATTGCCCTTGGGGTGAAACCTGTTTAGTGGAAAATTGATTGTTGCACCGTGTAATCGTTGCGAAAAACGATTTGTCATTGAATTTGGACGTTGAAAACCTACTATCTCATAATGGAGGACTTTCCTCTACTAAAGCCAACGGCACGCGATACTATTTTTCCTACTGGATTGCTTGCGACAGCTAATCAGAATGCAGAGTTTTCGGTCAGGTGACTAAAGGCTAAATCCTGCTTGGCTCTCGTAAGCAATCCAGAGGGAAAAATAGTATCTCGTGTGCCGTTGGCTCAAGTATAATTACTAGTACATTGTATGGTAAAATTTCAAAAACTCTCATAAAATTCTTAAATTAAAAAATGAAAATTCCAAATTTCATTCGACCACAGCTGGTCACATTTGTTAGTTAATCGGTTAGTGTAGAAAATTTATTGCAAAAAATACCTCAGCCAGGGTGTGAACCTGGACCTCCCTTACTCTCTAGGCGGGCGTCTCACCAATTCGACCACTGAGGCATGTGGCAATATTTGTCGCCATAACAGCATACAGATGACATCCGCGCGTCTGTTTTTCAACTTTACCCGGGCTGAGGTAATATTTTTCGCAATAAATTTTCTGCATTAACCGATTAATTAACAAATGTGGCCGGCCGTGGTCGAATGAAATTTGGAATTTTATTATTATATGTACTGGCAATTTGAAGAAATTGATTTTAAAAAAATTCTCCGTGTGCATATATCGCAAAATAAATAAGACAAGAAAAAGAAGGGGAAGGGGTTATAAGCTCGCATACATCTTCGCATCAGGGGATCGACGAATTCGGCGTACGCTGAACATTTCGCCTCCGAAGCACGTTCGCCGCGGTGCCAACGAAGCCGAGGTGCAAATATGGTACAACGGTTCCATTGTCGTCGCGTTACGAACCACGTGGCGCCGATATATCACATCCGTGCGGATTGCCTTTGATGTCCCGCACGCGCGTGCAGGTGCGATGGCCTTCCTGTCCGATTACACGTGGTCGATTCGCATGACGACCTCCCTCGTTCGGCCCGAGATGCCGTCGTCACCGCGTTGGACGAGTAATTAATTTACGACGACTGTACATCAAGTTTCAATTATAGCAATGACGCAAATTCGATTCTCTATTTCGCAGCTCTGCGTCTAAATTTTTCTCCCTTTTCCTTTTAATTTACAGCGTAGAAAGGGGACAGATTTCTAAATTATTTGTTGAAACGCCGCTTTTTGTGTCAAACTAGCACAAGTCGCTCGCCCTTCACCCCATCGTGTTTGCTCGTAAACATTTATAAATAACTCCATTATTATTAGCGTAATTGTTCCCCTGACGTAACGTTAAGCGCATCCACAGGATGGACGTGCCGCGATGGATATAGGCGGCCAGTCAGCGTAGTAGACGACTGCAGGTCGTCCAGATCGGCCGGCACGCTCGCGATCATCCCCGAGTAAGAGAAATCGGCCGCGATGGCCACGACGGCGTCAACGGAGAAGATGAACCTGGACAAGGATTCTGATCTGCCGAAGAAGAAGCTCATCAACACGAACCTGATATCGCTCAAGTTTCTTCTGTTCATCTTTTTCGGAGGTAAGCAAGTCCGATCGAGTCACATCTTATAACAGTCGTTTCAGTTGGAGCAACCTCGAATTGTCGCGATCTACGACCGTCTCTCTTCAGGTATCGGCTGTCTCTTCCCGTTTCTTCCGCTGCACATGGAGAAGGCGGGACTGAGCATCGAGAACGTCAGGTTCGTGTCGATGATCTCGCCGGCGATAGCGATACTAGGGCCGCTAATAGCAGGACCGATCGCCGACAAGCTCGCCGCCCGCCAGAGCAAAAATGACAAATCGTCGACCGGTCGCTACCTCCGCGTGATGATCGCCGTCGCCTGCATCTTCTCGGCGTTCTTCTACGCGCTGCTGATGCTGGTGCCCACGGTGGACTGCTCGCTACCGTCCGGGAAGGGTCCGGATCTTAAATTCAACTGCGATCGGCACGGAGCGATTGTGCGTTTACCATGAATAAAGAGTAAAAGAAAGATTGAGAGATGAATGGAAAAAAATATCTGAAAAACGTTTCAATTATAACAATATTAGATCAATAGAATTCAAGCGTGACGATATTAGAATCAATAGAAATATCTAAGTTCCATGCGAATGTATTACTCTTTTCTCACTGAATCGTGTCAACTTGTACCAGGTGCGGCAAGAGAGATGTGAGAACCGTTTCGGCTGCCATCGCTGGGTCGACGATGACAGCGGTGTGGGTGCTATGCTGCTGAAAAATTGCGTCTACGCCTGCTACCCGATCGGCTGGCGACGGTGGCACCCGGAGCTGACCGCGCGCACGACGACGTTCCGGAATAACGCCGACGTTGAGGCAGACCTCTTCGACGGCAGTGGCGAGACCACCGTGGCGCCATTGGACAGTGAACTCTACGCGCAGGTAAAGAAAAACTATCATGTAAGACGTGATAATTTAACAATTAATTTGATTTATATTAAAAGTAAAACAATCGATCAAACATTCTTGCTATTAATTTGTAACGTTTTATTATTTTGCGCTAATTAATATAAAAATGAGAAATTTTGTTTTGTTTATGGTAATTTCAAGGGAATATTTCTGCAATAACTAGAAGTTTAATATGTCGGTGATTAGATTATTAGTTCGTCAAGTACGGATGTAATTACACAAGTATTTATCCCTGCAGGAGACTCGTGACGAGACGAAAAAAGCCCGTCGTTACGTCATGATAGAGAACGAGCCGCCGCATCTGTGCTTCAAGGACGAGAACGACAACGTTGTCTGTCACGTTTACACAGAGTACTCGGGCACGCTACCAGTGAACGGTAGCCTCGGTCAGGCATTGAATCCCGAAAACGAGGACGAATGGTGCGCGTATCCCGTGGCCGAGTATTTCGCCTGTCGCATACCGTCCGAGCTGGAAGTTAAGATGGTCCCGTTCAATAAGACTTGCTCCATAGAATGCGACCTGGTCAATCCGTACACCCTCCCGGGTAACAACTTGTAGAACTAGAATTAAATATTAAGCTTCGTGCGAAATCTCCTAAAATTAAGGATTAAGTGATTAGAAACGCGTATTTAAAAGTATTCTTGGAATCGGCTCCTCTTCAATAATCACGTTCTGACACTTATTTTACACGATAGCGACAGCTTTTGCTTGCCGAGCTAAAAACTTGGAAAATCTCTAAACGTTATATATATCATCTTCATTCGCTCCATTCGATTTTATCCGCGCTGACGGCGGAGAAACAGAATATCTTCCTTCCGGTATGTGATAATAATATGATGATAATGTCGGCGTTTCAGGCGGCGTGCTGGTGGAAAGCCAATGCCAGCGTACCGGAGATTGGACGGAAGCGGCGTTCTGGATGTATTTGTTCGTGCGCTCGGTCGCGGATATTTTCCCGACGACCGCCGTCGCCCTGATCGACGCGGCGGTGGTGATCGCGACCAGGGAGACGTCGTGCGGTCGCGGCGACGTGGGACGCCAGTTGGCCTTCGGCTCCCTTGGTTTCGCCCTGCTGGGACCGCTGACTGGCTATCTGAGCGTTCTGACGAGCGGCATCGGGCCGGCTTACTGGCTGCCGCTCGTCCTGCACGCAGCGTTAATGATCCTCGCGGCTATCGTCGCTCTGTCGGCGGACGGCATGCCGCTCAGTCCGCCGGAATGGTGGTGGCACACGAGAAGCGGCATGCTGGCCCTGCCGATGAGCGCCGTCAAGAGATACGGCAGCGAGACCGCCGCTCTATTCTTCGTCCTGCTAGTCATGGGGACCTTTTGGGGCGCGATGGACAGCTACCTACCTTTGTACGAATTTAATTAAATAGACTATGCCTATTGTAGAAATAATTTAATAACGTATGCGTGGTATTAGGAATTCTTTTATATGCTTCTCTTTGACATAGGCATCTGCTATTGCTGGGGGGCGATGAACTTTCCATCGGTGTCGCTATGACGGTCGGAGCGGTACCTGCGTTCCTGTTCCTCTGGAAATCCGAGCATCTTGTAGATTACTGCGGACACAGTAACCTTCTCATCACTGCCTTCACGGTGTACATAATCAGGTAGGTAAGTTTTTTCTAATCTAATAATCGCGTGATAGGTGTCAGTCCGAGAGGAGATCATACCGCTAAGTTTACGTCAGTTATTTTCGTTCGTTTTTAAAAAAGTATTGAAAATTGATACGATTGATACATTTGACCAGGTACACCGTACTGAGTTTCGTATCTGAGCCTTGGTGGTCCCTAATCTCTGAAGCTTTAGAAGTATTCACCCTAGGAATAATGTGGGTTACTGCCATTCTCTACCTGAGACACTTGGTACCGCGTCATTTGACTGTGACTGCCCAAGCGCTGCCTGTGATAGCTCACTTTTGCGTCGGTACGTACCCAAGTTAAATGTTTGTAACTGAACGGCCAGGATTGAATTATCGATTTCTCTATCGGACGCCCACAGGTCGGTGTCTCGGAGCCGTAATCGGCGCTTATATCAATTTCGGCGACAAGGACATAGTGGAGTCGCTGAGATTCGTGTTTCGTTGTATGGCGGTAGCGGCGGCCATCGTTGCCGGCCTGTATTTCGTCTTGTATCATGGTCTACTGAAGCCGAGATGTCATGCACATACCATCCAGGGTCCACGTCAACCACCCACAATCGTGCAAGGTAGATACTTTAATGCGCGCATACGCTCCAAGTCCTCGCAACTCCTCACTAACTTTGACTTTTGGCTTTACAAGCTGCCATAAGAGATTACGAACTGAGTAAGTGATTGAACAGGCTCGAGATTTTCTATTTCAGGTTCTTCGAAGCACATATGTAACTTATGTGTGTGTGTGTTACCTAACAATGTCTACGCGGAAATCTTCAGAACTGGCTTTTCTGGTTTCCACGATGAACTCTGAAATCCATCACGATCTGAAAAGATCAGTTCTGCGTATTTCCTCGAGAGCTTCCTCCCCCCTTCTGCATGCATCACGGAGAAACTGTGTTGTTTCTGAACGCGCGCTATGTTTATAATTTTCATCGTTTTCATAATTTTTTTGCAAATGTAGCGATGAACGGAAATGGAAATTACACGCCGCTGAGAGTGTACCATAATGGAATGGGCAAAAAGGGTCAATTTCGATACTGAGATGTTACATGCAAACGAATGAAGAGTTCCAGGAACAACACTGCAACAATGATTCTACAATGCAACGTTTAAGTGTCATCAGCGACGAAGTGCCGACGATGTGTGCTCTCGTATTTTACGTTGCATCGCATTTATCGTTAATTTGTTAATTTAAGTTGACTCGATATTATCGTTTCTGTTTCTTAACATTATTATTTAAATGAACCATTATCACAAAGACTACTACTTGCTCAAGCACGTTCTACGAGCTATATCATCAGTTTCTATATTTGTAACATAAAAGTGTACCAACGACAGTGAGCAACATAATGCGAATCTTTCGTGCATCGCGGTAATAAAGAGAGAGATAAGAAAACCTTTTTTATGTACAAAACGTCCACGAAAAGTTACAAATGTCTAATATTTAATTTTATATATAAAATTTATTTATTTTTTTTTAAATACAATTGCTACGTTCGTAAAACTCTTGAGATATGTACAATTAAAAAATGGACAGTTTCCTTTGATAAAACCATTAACAGCGAGACTTACATGCGTCTTCACATGTAATATAAATCGAATAAGTATCAATAAAAGTAAAATGTCTGTTTGACTGGACAAATGTTACGTTTCTGTGAATTGATATATATGTATACAAGAAAAATGAAATAAAAATACGTTGGAGAGAAACGTTACAATTGTCGTTATTTTGCAAGAAACAATTACGCCACACTGACTGTTTACATTAAGTTTATTTAGGCAGTGTTAAGCAGAATTTCAACGAAGTTGAAATATTAATAGCCGCTGACTTACGTTTAATCGCGAGACTTACGCTTTATAAATGAATAGTAAATCTAAAGTAGGCTAGCATGTATGTGTGTAACATATAAAACAATTTATTTCGTACACTTTTCTTCCCTTTCTCTCACATCATTTTAATGTATATACGCCTATAGGTTGCAATTACAAGTATTAGTAAGTATAAGAGATACGACGTATTTTTGTATTTATTATGTAACATGTACATGACAATGACAAAACTAATAGAGAAGTATTGATCCGTCATTCAACGGTTCATTACACAACGCAACGCATCGGGATAATATACTATAAGAAAAAGCGTAACGTCGTATTTGTATGCATAATTTCTTTACACGGAGCACAATGCTCTTATATACAAGTTTATGTAAATTCCATAATTGCGTAGTACAAACCACATATTTATAAATAACGCCAAATTAAAATCTTCAATTTTTGCTCTTTACTAGTTAGAGATAAGTATTTTTCCTTTCAAAAGACAAAAGAATATTTCATGATTAGTTTTACGTGAAACTTTGTGCTCTTTGGGGATGGAAGAGAGAATAAACAGTTATTAATTATCTTTTACGTTGCATATTTTTCCTGTCTGCAATGTGAAAACAGATTAATTTGGCATGTTCGATTCGTGAAAAAAATAGTCTTGCTGTATTTTTAACGAGATAGTTTTCGAAATTATTACTCATACAAAATATTTCGTGTATATTAACTATTATCGGGATAATAAAGATATTAAACAAATAAAAATATTAATAAAAATAATTATATATATTCTAATTACTAATATATATTATCATATACATAATAATATATATTATTGAGATGTACAGATTAGTTTTGAGTAGAAAGATTTTTAATCTGCCGAATAAAAAAAAATTAATGATAAATAACGTTGCTTTCATTAGAGAATGCAACTTATCAAATTAATGACATTTAATTTATCTTTTTAAATTTATATATTTCTTCGAATTTCCCACCCATTCTGATTTCATCTTTTAATTGCAAAATTCTTTTCAGAAAATTTATGTTGCTAACAAATCTTTATTTATTAATAGAAATATAAATTGTCATGAAAATCGATTAAAATAATTTGGTCACTGAATAGTGAAAATTTGTAGAAAATCAGGGAAATGTATGTGCATTTTTATAAATCTAATGAAGTTTCAAGAAAAATCATATTGTTTATTGCTAATTCCCTAACTAGATACAATTTTGAGATGTTATTTCCTAATTGTAAGGTATTTGTCAAAGCGAATTCTCGACAAAGTTGCCTATATGTTCAGAAGATATATTATATATATGCATATTTTAAATAAACAGAAAAGAACAGGCTTTTTTTTAAAACAAGCTTTTCTATTCTTCATATCGGTTCTTCTTAAAATCTAGAAATGAACTGTACAACTTTTTTATAATAAATTATTTCTGTGGAACTTTTTCGAAAAAGATGAAAATTCCAAATCAAAATGTATCTTGATTCATAATTAATTGGATTATAAGAGTATTTAACCAAAAACAATACATTTATAAACAATTTCTTTCATTAATTATCGATAATAGTACAATCTTCCTCACTTCCCACGGGATTAATTATGTCCATGTTTATTATGTTATCGTTTTCAGTTTTAGTATTATCTGACGTTGTCGTTTCTTCGTCCAGTGTCTCTGCACAAGTCTTTTGCGATTCTGTTTGTTGCAGTTTGCCGTCAAGTTGCATACTCATTTCTAGTTTTTCAGTATCGGAATTATTAACAATTTCTTCATTATTCTTAACCAGTGTATTATTTTCATCATCTTTGGTCACCAAATCGATATCACTCAAATTTTCTTCTTGGCAATTTTCCAATTGATCAGAAGACGCCATAGATAAATCAACATCTTGAAGCAAATCCGAAATAAATGATGGATCCGTTTGTACCACTTCTTGAAGTGACATTTCATCTGAGTCTACCCCTCTCATATTTTCTGCCTCTTGGTCTTCATCCTTAATCCGCTGCAAATAAAAGATAAATTGTTCCTCATATTTGCCAAAATTCTTGTCGGACTCTATCGGCAAATTCGAAGCACTCTCGTCCGCCTCTCGATTCTGATCAGTTGTCACTACAGAATAACCGATAGAGTCCTCATAATCCCTTAAGACCGTGTCGTACACCTGAATCGCCTTGTCCATAGTCAAGTGCACATTATCGTCACCAACACTACGATGCACAACATTTGCCTTACGAAGTAACAAATTCTTAATAATATCACTATCTTTAATTAAATCCGACGGCTCCCTAATCTGATTTTCGCAGTCCTCGGATTCAGTGTCAGAATCGTTGACACAAATCATATCTAAAGGAATATCTACATTTTCCTGGGACACTGATGCATTCTCGTCGATCGAAGGTGACGCCTTAGTTTCCGTCTCCCAAGATCTACTCCACCCAATGTATTGGCGTACTATCCTATCGTTAATCTGCACTAACTGAAAGACCGTGCCACGCATAGTGCAATGAAACTGCTTGATTATTTGCTCAGCCTCTTCTTTAATGTCCTTGATCGCATTGCTTAAGTTAAATAAATTGTACATCTTTCCCTTCGTGTCACTTAAAACTTTGTCGAGTTCTTGGCTGTGTGGCAACATTATTTCTTTGAAGGACCTGTCCTTTTCTTCAGTCACGCAAACCTCTCTCAAGGGTTGTTCCTCCCTCACGACATCATCATCACTGTTTTCCCAGGTGAGAGCAACAGGTACAACTCTATTGGCAGTTGTACTAACGTTCATACTGTTGCCTCCGTTGGTCGTCGAATTATTTTGCAACACGACATTCGGTTCATCATCGGAATCACTGTCAAGCTCGATTATATTAGGAGTAATATCGACTTCTTTCGGTTTAGGAAGAAGAAATACGGGTCTCCCGAGCTTGTCCACTGGATTAGGTATGGACACCATCGTATTTGGCGTAGATTGAAGCAGCTGCGGCGACTGATACGAGCTCGTCGGTTGCGACTGGTACGAGCTCGTCGGTTGTGGCTGGTACGAGCTCGTTGGTTGCGGCTGGTACGAGCTCGTCGGTTGCGGCTGGTACGAAGTCGTCTGTTGCGCTTGATACGAATTCTGTAGAGATTGATACGGCGTCAATTGTGTTGACTGCGACTGCGACTGCGACTGCGACTGCGACTGCGACTGCGGCTGAGGCTGCGGCGGAAGAATGATTCGAGTAGTGGAGCTCATCGGAACAGGCGTTTGAATGTAAGTGGCGGATCCGGACGTGTTGACGAAAGATGTGCGATACAAGGGAGGCGGGTGCTGCTGCGGCAACACGCTGGGGTCGAATCTCGATGGTAACTGGGTATTCGATTTTGTCACGCTGGACGATGGGAGACTGATATCTTTCGGATTCCTGGGTGAATTCTCACGGTTGACCGCGGAGTTCGACGGTTCATTAAAACATTGACCTCTCGGGAACGCCACCGGGCGCGGTCTGATGGGAATCGGCGATTTATAGGACTGCACCCTCGTGCCGTTCGTAGCAGGCTGGACGACCGCTTTGTACCTTTTCAGCGGCTTACGTTTCACATATGACGTTACCCCCCCATTTGCCTTAGGCGTGTACGTCTCGTCTTCCTCCTCGGAATTGGAGTCGGGTCTTCGCCGCTTACGCTTGCTTCTGCGCGGGCAACACTGTGATTCGTCCAAATTCATCTTCTGTTCGATCTCTTCGGCGCTCATTTTCTTGTCGTGCGCGAGTATCCTAAAATACACCGTATAATCAAGTACAAATGCCGATGCAAGTTCATAATGGAGTGATAAAATTCATGGATTTTCATAATGAAGTGATAAAATTCGATCGATACGTTCTTGTCATTTACGTCGGTGCAATACCTTGTCACTATTCTGCTATACTTTAGGCAATACTTTACACAATACCTTGTCACTGTTTGTACGTGCTGAAGCAAGGCCCAGCACACAGCCCTCAAGCTATACAAATCATTCGGTTTGCATACAAAGCACTTCCACTTTTCGTCCGCTTCAATCTTCTTTCTCACCAGAGATGTGAAATTTCTCCGTATACATTTGTTACAAAATGTATTGCTGCAGTACGAGCAACAGTATAAATTGCCACCGTTGGCGCACCATCTGCAGAACATATCTGTAGCATCATCGCCTGAAATCAAAATGCAGACTGGGATACCTGAGAAAATGTCGCGCATGATACATAAACGTCACGTTACCCTGTTCGAACCGGCCATCTCCATAGAACTCATAACAGCTTGAGCACAATAACGTACGGATTACAGGATGTTCAAACATATTGTGAGCTTGAGCTGGAGCGGAGCCAATGTGCACATCGCATGCTGTACAGTGAAGTCTACGAAATCGTACAGACGCGATATCTAAAAACGAAATCACGACGTTTACTCACAACTCTCTCGGCTTTGAGAGAAGCGGTCTCGGTCGCCCGTAATTTGTATCCTTCGTGACAAACCTCCGGCAATTACAGCACAATTAGAAAGCAAGATTAAACTATAAAACTAAACTAGCAACTACTCGTTACAAGGCAAGGCAATATGGAGTTTTGTCAAGTGAGCTGACCGTTGCCAAGCATTATCTTGTAGTAATTGCTCTCATCCTGAGAGATAGCTGAGGTAGCGGTGCTACTTGCATTGGACGCCTGGTCTTGTCCTGGTGTTACTGGAAGAAAAAAAACCACCGTGAGTTTCCAGCCCTGGGCTTTATATCTCGAAGAGTTACATGGCACGTGTTACATTTATGCTTTCTCGCTGTATCCGTTGTGGAAAACTTGGGGGTAAGCGTACCAGTAGTCGACACCTGTCACTTTAGTTTAAAAAGCTAAGACGTAAGAACAGAATATGGACAAACTTACGCTGGAGTGTTTGTCCTTTCGAGTGAAGCATGGTTCAAATCCTGTCTTTACATCTTATTTTTTTAAACAAAAATGTCAACTCTCAGTACACTTACCGTATATGTATATATATACGGTAAGTGTACTTATATATAAATCTATTAAGTTTTTTTTTTAATAATCACATAGGGCAGAGTGTCTTTAAATCCGGAAACACCGACGCTTCTGGTACTTCTCTTAAACTACTTTGCCTCTCTCTTTCCCTTAAAGAGATACACGCAGGGTAAGGGCTTGGCTCGATCCTAGGGTCCTGTCGCTTTTCTACGGCCGCGTGAACAACCGTAAGAGCAGATAGGTAGGTTAAGGCAGTCGCTCGACAAAATCGCTCTCCGGAACATGGGTTCCGGAACATTGTCGGCGCGCCGCCGCCGCTTGCTCACCGTTCTCCTTGACGTCCGTCTCCTCCTTCACCTGCACCTCGAGCATGCTCGAGATATCCATGGCGTCCGAACGCGGTATCGTTGGCTCGCACAGCAGGAACGCACCTTTCAAAACAACACCGGGCCTACTTCGCCGCCATTTTCTGACGGAAGAGCATGACCGACCCCGGAGTAGCCGCGAGGCCCGCAAGTCGACTAACATAGCTGGGTCGCATTTTGAAGCAGCAGGTCCCCGCGAAACGTTTCTCGTGCTGGAAGAGAAATACCTGCTCGAAGTAGCAGAAAAAATTAGACAGAGATAGAGAGAGAAAGAGGAAAGAAAGGACAATTGATAGCGGCAGTCTCTCAAGCGCGGAAACGTTTTCGTACGGACTGGATTCTTTTGATTTTTTTTTTGCGGCTTCGACCAGACTCCGATTACTCAAGCGGCAATTGGTTCAACCGACAGTAACGGTTCTTTTTAGCCGGGCACTATTATGGAATTTTTCGGAATGGATTTCGATCGAAAATATCCTGTTTTTCCTAGAGAACGCAATAGAAATCTAGGAAACGATTGCACGATCTCGATGGGAATTTTTTTATTTCGAAAATTTCTATAATCCCGAACTGGTGCAATCAGCTCAGGCAAAAGAAACGGGGCCCATTTGCTCAGGACCAAAATTTTCAACTGCATGTACCTACAAATTCGTGGTCGGAATGTTATTCCGACATTTCCAACAACTATTGATATCGTTACGAGTAGAGTCCTAAATAATAAAAGAAGCGCAATCATTACCCCCTCCATGCTCCTCATGGTCGACATGTTGGGACAGCAGCTGAAACAGTACAGCATAGTGCAACAGAGTACAGCTAAACTAGAACAGGTTATGGTGCGATATAACTCTAAACTACGCAATATGTACACCTAAGATGTATCAAAGTCTCAGGGATATCTAAAATATGTTTTCTTTTAGGAAATAACATTACAAATATACCTCTTTCTTATTTACGCTTAGTTTGCACACAGGATTCACTATGGGGCTTAACATGGTCAGCCAATCAGCAAGCGAGACGCCGATTGGCAGAACCAATGAACTGATAGAATTATATAACCGTACTGGAAGGAGCACTGTCTACCCCCTCCATAGGATCGAGCGGTCAGAGAGAGATACCCATACAGCACCAAGCACAAACACAGCACAAGCACAGCACAAGCACAGCACAAACATTTCAGAAACATTGCAACATTGCAACAATGTTTTCTGAAATGCTTCTGAAAGCTTCGGTGCTGTATGGGTAGTTACAACTTAACTACCCATACAGCAACAACGTTAAATTGCGATCATGTTGTCTCTTTTTAACGTCTCTTTTAACTACCGTGGCTGAAAACATTGGTTCAGATTTGTATGTACACGTGTGCTCCTGTGTCCAGGCAATGGGCACTAGTGGGCACACTATTTACGAACTGTTTAGGTTTATTTTCTGTTCCTGCACTGGTGGACTAGTGCAGTAAGCTAGAATGAGAAAAAAATATGCTTGTCTCACTCTAATTTATTGCAACTAGTTCACCAGTTTAGGAGCAGAAAACAAGCCTTTGTAGAATTAATATACTGAACATTAGAAGAGAGAAAAAACCAGAGAGGCTACGTGTAATGCGCAACGAAAGAAAATACAAGATATTAGTATAAGAATTGTGTTAGGTATGTAATCGTAACCCAAAAATATTTATATCTCATCTTAAGAATTTAATCAATGTGGATTTAGTATTTTTCCATTTCAAATAATTCAATCTGAAGTAATGAAATAACATACAAGTTAACGCTGAGAAACTGATAACATATCTTAATGTATTTCTTGTATATGTATAATATTATAAAATGCCATTTTGAACTTTTCTTAACGCCTTTGATATAAAATATAGTCTTAATATGGTATACAGAACTATACAATATAAAGTTGTTAATTCTAACATTATAAATATTCTTTGTTAATAGCGATCGTGGTGCAGAGGATTGTGCGCTGGTCTGGTAATCCGAAGACCCGGTGTCAAAACCAAACAAAACATTGTTGGTTTTCGTTCGATCGCCACATATAGTGAAATGGATAGAGAGAGGCGTTATACAGGTAAGAGGTTTGGGCACGTTCCTTCAAAAACGCCTTGTAACCCTAAGGGGAATCAATAAAATGTATTTACAAATATTCTTTGTTGATTAACCAGGTAATCGAAGAGACGCATTTTGCTCTGATTATAGTGATAGCGAGTTTTTATTTATCATGTGAAGATTTATCATCTAAGGGTGAAGGGCAACTTCCAGATTTTATTTTATGGGCGCCGAGTACTCCGGAGTCCGGCTTTGTGCGCGTTGCTCCGGCGACCGCGTCTGTTTAAAAATGGCGCGGCTATTCAATTTCGCCCGTGAGTAAACGCGAGCTCGCGGGTGACAATCTCGCGGGAAGAATGGAAGAGAGAACCGCGGAGAGCGCGAACTCGCGCGACAAAACGGCGCGGAAGCTCGCCGACGACATACAGAGCATGTCGAATTACAGGGCGCTATACAGCGAGATACAGGTGCGTGGCCCCATACTCGTCGAACGCCGAGCGTTGTCGACGTCCGGTAAACACCAGCTAACACCTACACGAAGGCCTGTGTCCACGATGCTTGGAACTTGGACCAACATTAATATTAACATTAATATTGTAATTTTCTCCTCAACGATGTGACTGTTACGTACAACATGTGTTACATTTTATATTGTCGAGTGGGAAATTATAATAGATCTATTGATGTTACGTAACTGTTAGCCAGTGTTTTCTGGGAGGCGGAGAGGCATCGCATTCTGTCTGTTTGCAGAGGCTCGTTGCGTCGCCCGCCGTGGACCGGCACGATTTCAAGAACTCGCTGATTACGGCACTCAGGGATAACGGGCTGGAGACGGAAATCCGGAATACGGTGTTTCACTGGGCGCGATCGCGGGTATTCCTCCAATCAATGAACCCCTCGACGGAAATATTTTGCTGAAAGTACACAGAGAAAAAGAATACTCTTCTTTTGAAAATATGCTTGGTTTCAACGTGAAAATCTTGAAATGAGATTATATTGCGTTAAAGGAAGAAAAACTTACTGAAATGAAGCAATTTTATGTTTTATTCATTAAAACGCTCGTTGAATGTATAAACGAATATCAAATCAAGGGGCCAGCAACAACGAGCCAAATAGAATGCTTTCATAACACGATTATTAACGTAAAATAAATGAATGAAATTATGAAACTGGATTTAACTAAAAACTACGTTACTTTTTAATAAGAAATTTTTAAAATGGTTTTTTTACTGAGTTTTAACTAAAGTATCAATGATTAGTGCAGGTTTGAGAGATGTTGAAATACATTTCAGCAAAATTACGGTAAAACATTTCCCTCAGGATTTCCTCAATTATAAAAGTCCGCTTAGATGGATCTCTTTTCTTCTCTCTAGGGTTCGTTACATTCCCGATCAGTCTCACACATACAGACAGCCGATCTGAGCTACCTGAAAAAGACTCAAATTCAATGGGAACGGCGTATACAAAAATCATTGAACTCGACATGCAGCGAATTGAACATCCCGCTGGCTCGTATAAGGCCTACCACCGACAGGGACGAGCTGGCCGAAAAGTGGAATGAGTTGAGCACTTATGACATCGGTAAATGTTATAGCAAATTCAAAGATGCAAGGTGCAAGTTCTTGGGACCATTTATAAGATATGACTTTCAGATCTGTCGCAATACCGACCGTTATATGCGCCGAAGGACTTCCTGGATGTGCTGTTCTCCATACGCGATCCGTCATTCAAAAAGCAACCGTGCGTAATTACAGATTCGTATAGAAACCGCGGTTTTATTTATGAATAAAAACGTATCTGCATCGAGTTTTCATTTAAAACGTTTCAGGGACGAATTAAATTGGGACTTCAGTCACATACAAATCAGTGTAAAAACGCTCGCGCAATTGGTACGAATTCTATCGAGTTGCCTCTATAATTTATAATTTTACGTATTTACACACATGTGTATAGAAAATTTCTTTGCGCAGAGACATATGTATTCAGAGTTAGTACAGGGAATGCCATTGCTGGGAGTGAATCCCGACATGCCGGCCACGGAAAACTTCCCAAATTTGGAAGCTGAACGAACGCACATTGGCGAGAAGGTACTGCACTCGAATCACGCTCCGATTGCTCAAGAGTTTCTCAAAAGAGGATCTCCCCGTGCGTTGCGCGGACGTATTTGGTCGCTCGTTCTCGGATCTGTTATCAAAGATAATGTACGATTGATATATCTCTGTCAAACGGAAGATCGATGCTTCCGGTTATCAGTACAGATTAATTTCTTTCTTTTAGGATATAGAATATTACGAGGAATTGAAAAATATGGTTTTGCAATACGATATTGTAGTAGACAAGCTGATAATAATGGTAATTTGTATACTCTTTAAATCACATTGGTTTTTTTTAAAGAAACAAAATAAAACTTGCGCGCGGATAACCATCTTGCAGGATGTACAATTAACAGCGAGAAACGACGATCAATACTTCGTATTCGAGGACGTTCTGTATAAGACAATGTTGTGCTTCTCGAGGGACTCCGAGATACTCGCGCCAGTGACGACCGACAGGAGTGCTGGGGGTCAAGTGATCCACGCGGTTTTGCAGGGCAAACCGGCGACGCTGGAAAACACCCTGGTCTTTCCGCCGAGCGGCGTCATTCCGTTTCACGGATTTACAATGTATGGTAAGGAGTTCGCGAAGGACACGGCATACGCTCCTTGAATCTAATTAATTATTTTCACGCCAGCCACGCCGTTTTGTTATTTATACGACGATCCCTGCGCCATGTATTACACTTTCCGCGCGTTCTACTTGAGATACTGGTTTCGCCTGCACACCGTCTCGAGCCACGAGCAAGGCATAGTCGCCCTCTGCTTGCTCTTCGAACGGTTACTGCAGTGCCACGAACCGCAGCTGTGGGCCCATTTTAAAAATATACACATTCAACCGTGAGTTTGTCTCTTCGGTCTATATTCTGAAGCCTCTTTTATTGCTAAAAGTGCCACTAAAATTGGTTTTGAAGGATTCCTCCCAGATAGCAATGCATGTCTAAAAGACGTCACAAAGATACCCTAGAGCACAGTGTATTGGCCAGTATTTCCCAATGTAAAGCCAATATTGACCGTGAAATAAATGCCAATAACGCACAACAACAATTACATAACGTTAGATTTTTTATATAGGAAATGCTTTGGCCAAAATTTAGCAATATGATATGAATATTAGTTTAATATTGGGGGGCGAGTGTGGCGCAGATAAATGTGGGCTGCTTAGTAAACAAATGAACGAAAAGATCCGAGTTCAAATCCATCGCTTTTTTCGGAATCTCCCGAAGGGAAGTGGCAACCACCGAGAGTACCTTGCCACATATACCCCTTCAGGCGTATAGCCATTTCAGATGGGAGGTCTCCTTCGACAAGATTAGCAGCCTGCCGAAGATAAAGTAAAACCAAATACTCAAAATACCAGAACGAACTGAATAAAACAGGCTTTAAGCCTAATACACGAGGAAGAAGAAGGTTTAATAATGATTTAATATTGATATAATATTAGACCAATATTGCTAAATAAGAGGAGGCGTCCATCTTACAATGTTGGACCAATGTTGGGAATATTAGATTTACATATTTTCCAATATTGCGCCAATATATTGTGCTACTAGGGTATCCTTAAGACACTTTTTAGAGTGCATGTCTAAAAGACAACTTAATGCCGTCTCAAAGATGTCTTTTAGACACGCATACTATCTGGGTTATTGGCTGAAAGGATCTTTTACGGGCGCTTGTAGCGATAAAAGGGGATTCCGTATATACGGGCCTTTCTCTTCCTACGTTATTCGTGCGATCCGTCGATTTAAACGCGCGTGCGTTTTTCAGCATAAGAATAGTTTTCAAGTGGCTCATGAGAGGCTTCAGTGGCCACTTGCCGCCCGAACAACTGTTGTATCTTTGGGATCTGGTTCTCGGCTATGACTCTCTGGAGATTATTCCATTGCTAGCGGTGACGATCTTGAGTTTTCGGAAAGAAAATTTACTGCAAGTCAACACCCAGCAGAATGTGGAGGTACAGAATGACGCTACCATGTATTACATGCAATCGTATACATTTATATAGCCGGTACTCATAGTCCGTTCTTATATTTAAGATCATCTTAAGTATACTCTTAATATGTTGTTAACCAATCACAGAGCCGTATTAGCCTCAACACGTAAGATGATTTTGAAATAAGAATCTTAATTCTATGAATATCGGCCTATATCTCAGAAAATAAGGAAAAAATAAGATAAGGGCTCTCGACCCTTACGGAAAAAAAACACTCAAGTTTTGAGTGTTAACACTCAAAATTAAAATACATTTATCACAGTAGCGAAAATTATACATATTTAGTATCTATGTGTATTCTTCTATTTCCAGGCTGTGCTGGCGGATTTATCCTCGTTGAAAGTAATGCCTTTGCTGCAGCTGGCTCTTTTAAAAGAATAATTCTCGCGTGAAGGCGAAACTTGTAAAATGCTTTTCTAGCTCCGCGTCACTCCCTTCGATCCCGCATATCCTGTTTCCGTAACGTCTCTTAAAAAATATATCGATATCGAAAACCAGGTACGCCGCGTGTTGAACAAATAAACGTAAATAAGGTTTAAACACAGACACGCAATTTCGAAATCCATATCCGAGAAGCGGCAGTGCGAACGTGAGGAAAGTAATCGCCGATATATCTACGAGAGAAGCCTCGAACAATGTTATCGCGGGGGAGGGATAAAGTGCGGCGCCCCGAAGGAGGGTGGAGGGGGAGGGGATTTTCCTGCTTCCGGCTGTCACAGCCGTAGAGCTTGGTCGGAGCTCGGTGGAGTAAGGTGGAGCGGTGACGCCTGGCCTCTCGTCGCTCCTTCTCTCGTGCTCGTCTGCCGGCTGCGCGCATACCCGGACAGGAAGAGCGCGTCGGAGAAGCGAGAAGCGTGCGGACGATTTGCGAATCGTGAGTATCCCTCCGTCGCGCGGCTCTCTTTCTCTCTCTCTCTCCCTGTCGATTTACGCGTCGCCGCTGACAGCGTCATTGCGGCAACGCCAAGCGGCGGCGACCCACGTCGCCCCCCACACACGAAGGGCCGCACGAAGGGTAGGGTGGTTCTCCACCCCCGAATTATTAGTCACGCACGGCTTCGCGCTCCGAGGCGGCTCCGAGTGACTCGGCGTCGGCGTCGCGCTCAGCCTGTTGTCAACGACGCCGTGGATGCCTCCCGGCCTCGCGAGAGAGAGAGAGACTCCGGCGTCGACTCGATCTCTCCCTACCATTATCCGCGCCGAGAGCAACGCCCAGCGGAATTATTCCGAGTGTCCCTGCGCGAGAAATCCCGATCGAGCCCGCACGCGAGAGTCGTCCCCGCGAAGGTTTCCGCGGACGCTCGCCTCTGTCCTGCCTCCCCCCCGCAAGCTGTGCCTGTATGTCTCCCGAAAGATCGTAACACTCTCGACATATGTTCGGCAAACACGCTCGCACCTCTCGACGATCGCACGTTTTTCAGAGCGCCTCGAGGTGGAGCGGGCAATGTCCGATTGCATGCGACACGTTTCGGAATTGAATTGTTAATGAAATTCCAGTCCACAGATGTAACACTGACGCTTTTATTCCCGCCCCACCAGATTATATGATTTGAGCGGACATCGCCTGGGACATTCGAACTGAGTCAGCAGTGTCAAGATGGCCTGGCGTTTCAAAGCGTCCAAATACAAAAATGCAGCGCCGATCGTCCCCAAGCCGGAGGCCTGCATCCGGGACGTCTCCGTGGGCTCGTACCAGACCTATGGGAACAATATAACGGCGTCCACGGCATTCATGGCGTTCAATGTCGACCATAACGGTACGCTCTTCATCTACAATGTCGCCTGGACCTTAATTTATTTGTGAATTATTCTCAAGCGAAACTGTTCTTGTCCCCCGAAGGATCCAGTCTGGCGGTACTGCCGCTGGAGGACTGCGGCAGGAAGAGCAAGACGATGCCGCTACTCCACGCGCACGCGGACACTGTGACGGACATGGATTTTTCTCCGTTCCACGACGGCTTGCTCGCAACTGGGTCTCAGGATTGTCTCGTAAGCGACTTAGCGTGTCTCATTTTCCTGCGTACACAAAATAAACAAGTGTAACATATCGCCGAAGAAAGTTTTTCTAGAGATTATACTAGTTCTGTATAAAATTAGGTGAAATTGTGGCACATCCCAGAGAGCGGCTTGGAGGAGTCGTTGTGCAATCCAGAATGCACATTCTCGCATCGCCAACGAAGAGTGGAAACGGTATGCTGGCATCCTGCCGCCGAGCATCTTCTGACCACTGCGTCATTCACCAATCTCTCACTCTGGGACGTTCTCTCGCAACAGGAATTATTCTGTAAATAAAATATCTTGTAATTTTGTGTATGCCAATACTCGCCGCTTTACTCTCGCTTGTGAGATTCGTGTTGTTGCAGCTAATAGCGACCACACCGAGGTAATTCAGTCTGTAAGTTGGAAGGAGGACGGGACCGTTCTAGCGACGTCCTGCAAGGACAAACAAATGAGGATCATAGATCCGCGCGCGTCGACGTGTATCGTCAATTCATGCTCGAGCCACCAAAGTATCAAAGATTCCAGAGTAGTCTGGCTAAACAGCGACCGAATACTCACCACGGGATTCGATGCAGCGAGACTTCGTCAAGTTTACATTAGGGACTTGAGGCATTTAAATGAACCGGTGAAAACATTGGAATTAGATTGTAGCACTGGGTAAATATAAGTTGAATTCACTCTTTCCACTTGGGGACACTTGAGAATTTTTTAAATCAGCATTGCTTAAATACAATCACCGAGAGAGTTATTTGTTTGTAGCATTTTGATGCCGCTTTTCGATTCCGACACGAATATGCTCTTCCTCGCTGGCAAAGGGGACACCACTATTATGTACATGGAAGTCACAGATAGAGATCCTTACCTAGTAGAAGGGATCCGTCACAGCGGTGAGCAAACTAAAGGGGTTTGCCTGGTTCCTAAACGAGCATTAAACGTAATGCAGGCTGAAGTCAACAGGCTGTTACAACTCACCTCCAACATGGTGATTCCTATCATGTATCAAGTTCCACGCAAAGTAAGTTTTATTAAATACTGTCTTTGTGAAGTGCAACGTACAACGTATGTCTAGAGGTTTTGATGAATCTTCAATTTTAGACATACCGAGACTTTCACGCAGACATTTACCCGGATACAACCGGTCCCGTTGCTCAAAATAATGCAACAGCGTGGATGAAGGGTCATAATGCACCTGTGCCAAAGATATCGTTAGATCCTGCTAAGAGAAATAAGGACGAAGATCCGATTACGGTGAGTATAAACATTTTAATAAACGCTGTGGAAGCTCCAATATCTCTCTTAACGTGGTACACATTTGAAGTAGCTTTGATCGTTAAAAAAACAATTTGTTTGCTTATTTGTAAATATCAGTTATACGATTGCTTTAAATTCAAATCATCAGTCACTGCATGCTTTCCACCATCATAATGTGTTCTCGCATTATCATCCCATTTGCTCCAAAATAACTGAATTTAAAAAATAGACATTGAAATGTGATGTCAATTTATTCATGTATTTGCTATAATATTTATTTTAATATATATTTTAATATATATTTTTAAGTAGACCATGTTATATTCTGAAATCAAAATATGAAAAAATAATCCATTTGATGTAATTTATTATTTCTTTTTATACAAAACAGCTGCTTTATTTGTAGAAATATTACAATGTAACTTTATTTGAAAATTGCTTGCTGAATATACAAACTAATTTTATGTAACAAATATTCGCAATGTACTTTCTATGATATATAAGTGCTAAATTTTTCTCTGGTTACTGCTTTGATTATATAACTATGGACTGCTAGCAGCTATCTTTTCCTACAGTAAAAAGTCTGGCCAACATCTGCAGCATCCCCAGAACCAAAATACGGCAAACAATGGAACTTGTGAGCACAATCATAAGTGTGCGATACCGTCGGTCCGTCGTTTTTAATAGCTGTCTTATACTCTTAATTTTGTTTTATCCAATCAGCACAAATGTTTGTTTTATAATATTAATCGTTATTCATGCATGATATATCAGTAAAATATATAGAGAAGTTATTTAGTAGCATAATTTGTTAAAAACATTTTTTTGATCTAACTGACCAATGTTGATTAACTGAACAATGATTTTTTATTTAAATAAGCCGAATTGTTATAGCCTTTAACGACGCAATATTTCATTTTGACGTCTTGTGTCTTACGTCTTGAAAACTGTAGACTCACTTGAAATCAGCGACGGACCGACGGTTTCGCATACTTATTTTGCTCACAAGTTCTATTGTTCGCCGTATTTTGGTTCTGTGGGCGCTGCAAATGTTGGCATAAGCTAAAAATTATTGCTAGCAGTCCATATAGTCAAAGGGTTAATGGCAATAGTGGTTATAATATTATAAATGTAAAAGATGAATGGAAAATATAATTTAAGCAATGACGCTATTATATTTTATATCTCTATATGTATAATTGTTTGCAGGAATTTCTATTTATAAAATTATTTGATTACCACTAATTATGTATACATTTATTTTTGCGCTATTTAGTTTCTTTCTCCATATTCTGTGTATATTTTTTTCACGTTTCAGATATCCAATATATGTTTTATAATTTGTACATTAGCACCATTCAAACTATTATTCCTGGCACGTGTAATATAAGTGGCAATTGATGTTGTAGCTTATTCTACAGTGTAAGTAATAGTACGAAATGTAAAAACTTTTGTATTGTCCATATGGCCATAATCTCTTTCTATAAATTTGCTTTCAACAAATTTAATCACGAGATACTTTAAGCTTTAACTGGGGCTTATTTGTATCTTTTTGTATATTGCTATCTATTCTGTGCAAAAAAATGCGAGTCATGTGTGTACATGTGTAAAAATAATGTGAATGTAGCTAAATTGTTGACTACTGTTAAATCAAATCCCGTCGATTACGCATCGAAAGTGTAATGTATCGGGCAGTGTAGTCTGGTTTGCATGCAGTTTGCGGTCATTAAGGAATTTATACGTACCTCTAGGTACACAAAGGGAACTTAGCGGTGCTCAAAGACAATCAGCGCGAAATTAAAGTAGAACAAACGAACCGGCCGCCGAAACCCTTGATCATTGCGCCAAAGGGATTCTCGAAAGTTGCGCAGAGCAACATGAACGAAAATGACAACAATATGGAGAACGACACCGAGAAGATCGAAGATACCAAAAAGCCGCCCGAGGCAGAAGAAGAGAAGACCAAGATACAAAATGGAGGACAAGCCGTTCCGCCGAAACCTTTGCCGAGAGCATCAAGAACCAACAGTATCTCCGAGGAGGAACCAAAACCAGTGGCGCGTCCTCGTACATCGCCGAATCCCGGATCAGTAGTTACATCAGTGAACCCTAACGCGATCGGCGGATATAAGGTTAATCAACTTAAAAAAGAAATTAATGTTACATAGCGGGTATCTGATTTTTCTGTAACAATGCGTGACACTTTTGCATGTGGCCCAGTTTCCTCCTATGTCACATTCATGCCATCATTGTCATACCATTACTAACAGTTAATATGTGTACGACAATACTTGAAGCATGGAGAGACGAATTAAAAATTTCTTATGGCTGTTTCTTTTTTTACTTTTAGCCCCGACTCGGTCCTAAGCCGTTTCAAGCAAAGTCCAGCAGCCAGGAATTTTCATTTGACAAGGTCTTCTCTGTACCAATTGCGCCGAACAATGACAGCAATACCAATGGTTATCAAAATGAAATTAATAATACTGTGGAGCATAATACAGAAGCGGATAAGTCGCCGACCTTGACGCCGAATGAGCGCGCAAAGGATACGGAAAATGGCAAGAGTGACTCGAGCTCCATCGAGGAAGACGCTAATTCGAGTGACTCTGGTTACAAGCCGAAGACACCGAGCACCGCGGAAAGACGCAAGGTGTTCGAGACGAAAGTGAAGGACGAATCGCCCGAGAACGAGGATGTTGGGAATTTCGAACGCGGCACGAACAGAAATTCGATCGCCGAAAGGCGGCGCCTTTACGAGAGTCGGTCTGTGTCCGTGACCGACGGGAATTTGGCGGAGAAGGCGATGGGTTCGCCAACCATGCTGAGACGAAGGGATTCCTTCAAGTCGAAGAGCGAGGTGATTAAAGAGGACGAAACGAAAAAGAGTATCCCCATGTTGCGACAGCAGAGCATGGATCCTAAATTGGAGAAGGTGGAGCCCGTTGTTACGCCAGCTTCAAAGAGAACATCGACAGTTTTCGGTAAGAGTTGCGCACAGTTTGAAAGTTGTTTTCTTCGCGCAACGTTTAACGCAAATCTCTTGATTGTCATACAGGAAGAGTGTCCAAGTTTCGGCACTTGAAGGGTACCCCTGGACACAAATCTACACACATTGAAAATATACGCAATATCAGTCGTCAGATATCCGGCGAATGCGATGGCTTTCATGGTACAATTATCTTTTTCTCAATAAGATTAGATTCGAAGGAGTTTTTCAATGTGACAAACGTTCGCGGCTTCATTTCATAAATTTGTAGCTAATCCCGATCGAGTGGCTGTACCTTTGAGTGGCCCGGGTGGGAAGATAGCAGTATTGGAATTGAAGAAGACTGGGAGACTGCCTGATGGAGTTATGCCAGCGTTAGTCCACGGCGCGACTGTAATGGACTTTCAGTGGGATCCGTTCAATAATCAACGGCTGGCAGTTGGTAAAGTATAGAAGTTATAACGAGAGAAAAATTCAACCAGATTTGAGATTAATAGAATTTGCTTGCGCTAGCGTGTGATGATGGAATAATTCGCTTGTGGGAAATACCTGAGTCTGGTTTGGCGGAACCAACAAACGCACCAAAGCACATCATAGAAGCCCATACCGACAAGATTTATCTAATCAAATTTCATCCGCTGGCGTCAAATGTTCTTGCATCCGCTTCGTATGATATGACCGTCAAAATCTGGGATCTGTCGCTGTTATTGTCTACCGAGACGGCGATTGCGAAAATCACGTTGACCGGTCATACCGATCAGATATTTAGTTTGGCATGGTCACCGTGCGGCCAGTACCTTGCCAGCGCATGCAAGGACGGTAAACTACGAATCTATAAACCTCGATCAAGCGACGTTCCTGTGAAAGAAGGCAAGGGTCCCGTCGGAACGAGAGGAGCAAGAGTTATATGGGCGCTCGAGGGCAGATATCTCGTTGTAATGGGTTTTGACAAGTAAGCGCAATGAACAGCCACGTGGCTTTTTGACATACAATAAAAAGAAACTCGTAGAGAAAGTAACGATCCAAATCTATATCTTCCAGAGTTTCTGAAAGACAGATTTACGTGTTTAAAGCGGACAATTTGAATACTCCTTTGAACACTGTTGGATTGGATGTTTCGCCTGCCATACTAATGCCATATTATGATGAAGATAGCTCCACGCTTTTCCTAACTGGACGCGTAAGATTCTCTTTTTGTACTTAAGTTTAATTACATGAAAAATTCGCCATAAATTTACACCTTTTTTGGGGGGGGGGGGATGTTATTTCTAGGGTGATTCTACAATATATGCGTTTGAAGTAACCGAGGAAGCTCCGTATTGTTGTCCATTGAGTCACCATAGATGCAGTAGCTTGCACCAGGGCTTGTCATTCCTTCCCAAAAATAAATGTGACGTGGCTAGCGTGGAATTTGCCTCCGCCTTGAGGCTAACAAATAACACAATAGAGCCTTTAAGCTTTACTGTACCGCGTATAAAGGTACATACGACGAATAATTAATATAGATATATAGAGGATGGAATTATTAATATGAAAATACTAATGTATTTACTTGTTTCAATTAAAGAGCGAATTATTCCAAGACGATCTATTTCCTCCAACCAAAGTCATCTGGAAACCGACTTTATCCGCGTTAGAGTGGTTTAATGGTGGCAATAAACAGCCATCTAGAATGAATCTTAAACCACCTGGTATGGATAATTGTAAGTAAAATATGCTCTGTTGTTGAAATAAGAGAGGATATGTGTCACATGCGAGTTTCTATTCACAGTAACTGAGAATCAATCCCAAAGTGCAGTTACACTTCCCCAAATTCCAAGCAAACCATCGTCGACTCCTTTTGGCATCACTACACAACCCTTCAACAGACTAGGTTGGAATCCGGACATTAAGGCAAAACAAGAAGAGGTGAGACGACAATTAAATCAACTGCATTTTGCATGCATTTTATAAATGGATGTTGCTGTAAAAGTTATTTCTTGCAAGATATAATTGCACACGTCATCGAGGAGTAAAATCACAATTGGGCGTGCATGTATAGCTTCTGACATTGATATGTAGTATTCTAATCACTCGCAACATTGTAAAGTGTGACAAGCTTAAGTCATAAATTATTCCTCCATTGATATTATCATTCGATAATATAAAATGCATTATTTGAAAAAAAAAAGACTTTGTAACTATCTGAAACAGAAGTTTCTATGCTATTAAAAAGTATCTTTGGGGTATCCTTGCTTCTATGGAATATCACGATATCACGTTTCATATTCATGTTTGAGCCTATTGTGTGACATGTGTGCATCAGATCCAGAAAACTATGAGCCATTTTGTGGGAGATGTCATCCAGTGTTCACTAGAACAAGATCACATGGAAGGTGTCGAGGAACACGAGTGGGTAGGTTTCATTTGCCGTGTTATAGTTCGAGTTCTTAAGTAGTTATTTATTTATTGACTCACAGCCATCCATATGATTTATTGTGTACAGTAGTTTAAAAACTGCATTCTCTCTTAGTAGTTGTATATATTATATGTGATTGGTATATCTTTTGTGCCGTGATGTCTTTTTTTTCAATAAAAATGACAGTAAGATTTAAAATCGAAAAAATTCAAGAGAATTTATTTATATGAATTAACGATGATCACGAAACTTATTCATTTTAGGACGAGTAAAAATTGAAGACTTGTGGATAGATGCAAACTGGGTGAGGCAAAAATCTAAACGTAATATTGTTCGAGCCGCGTAAATTATTTATAAATTAGAATTATATATCGCGCGAATGGCAAGAATATCGCAGTGTTACTGTGTATAGAGTGAGAGACAGTTGTATCTGAGAAATATACTTCCAACGATTTTCTTTTGCGGAGGAAGTGAGAGATAAGTACAGTGTTTTATATCAATTTACAACAATACTCATTTTTTCGTAAATCTAGCTTAAGATTTTGTAAACGCATTTTTCAATGCATAGAAATAAGAGTTCAGGCCTTGTCAAACCACATTAATTTAAAGATAAAAAGATATGCGAGGTAAATGACACAAGAGATTTCTTAATCTGGCGTTCAATCAATGCAATATTTGATATAGCGCAGTGTCGATATGATAACACTGTTCTTATAAAACCAAAATGCGTGATTATAGCTCTAGTCCCAAATCACTTTTCTTTAATTGCTGATTCGTATCACTTATATATTTCTAGCTACAAATAATTCTATAGTATTCTATAGTATATCACTGTAGAGATTATATTAGATGTAGGATATGCTTAATTATTGTCAAGAGAATTGATAAACTTATAAGATTTGACAATAGTTTCATCATCATCATCATCTATTTAATGAATATCAGTTTGGAAGTTTAGTGGATGAGTAATTCTTCATAGAGCAAATATGCTAGTATATTCATTACGCTTTTCAGTACCGAGTGTGAACGATATCAATTGTGTCAGAGATCAGAGACAATTATTGACGAGTATTTAATTATTCGCTAAATATCGAGCATTGAAATGACCAATTTCCTATGTAAACAAGAAAAAATCGCAATACGTGCCATTTATGAAACGACGCGACATTTAGCCTGTTGTTCATAAGAAAAGGAAAAGTATTATGACCAATAATTCTTAGGTATTTAAACATAATTTATTTCGATAAGTTGACATTCCTTATTTAACTGCCACACCAGTGCCAGATTTATCTTCGTTTCGACAATGCCAAGTGTCAATAATGGTCTCAATGTATATGTCATAATATAATCTATCATCGTATATGTGTGGATAATAGAGCAAATGACAGTCTTGTCGCAGAATCGCGGGGCAGAGGTTTTCTACGGTATCCTTATACGCACATACAAAAAGACATTATACAAAATAACTGATAGATGCAATGCGTAAATAAGTAATTGTAAGCCAGTAATTTAATTGTATGGCGAAGTATACTTCAATTTACGCCTCGATCGATGAGCATTGAGCACTTTGCAAGATTCAAACGATATTAATCGGGAAAAAAATGACTTATCTTTTTCACAATCTTTTTCTTATCGAAATACTGAATGCAATTGCCGATTTGTTAAGCGATAATCTTTTCATACGAATGTGTAGACGAGAATATCTTTGTTTTGCACATGTATTTTTGCAAGCTAGTCGTTATGGAAACAAAAATTATGGTACTATGTCCTCCGAAAACATAAGTTTTGTAATTAGCGATGAAACGCCAATTTTTCTTTGTGAAAAATTTAATGAGTATTATCTGTATATATAACTTCTTCATTATTCTTCGGATCTCGGCACGCAAATGCATTTGATCAACATAGTGCCAAAAATCCATTATCAATAATATTTTTTGTATCTTGCACATTTTAGGTCTATAAGATGTTCCGAAACGTTCGAAAGTATTAAGAAATTTTCTATACGTGTCAAAGGTGAAGAATGAGACGGAAAATTGATTTGCCGCTGCCATTTATGTCTTGTACGTACCATTGACTTTACATTGAATTGAATTATTGACGGAAGGAGGTACGATAGTGTCGCATATCTTAATGTAATTTTTCTTACTCGTTTATTCCGTATACGTTATGTATTGCACACAATTACAATCCAGATTCGTAACCATTTTGCAGTTTTCAAGCGAGCTCTATTCGTTTACGACCAGATTATGAATAATAAAGGGCGATCCTTTACAGCACGAGATTCGAAATAAAGATGCATAATAATATTTAAAGAAAAATGTACGAGACTGAACGTTTCATGACACTCGATCTCGTGCCTTGTAAATCATTGCTGTCTAAATAATTTTATCATATAGTAATGTACCTTTATATCTCAATCTTATAACGTTCATGTATTTCAGCTATAAAATCTTTTTATCAAAAGTTGTAATTATTCCCAGGTCCCAGGTCCTCTATCTAATAAGTATCATCGTATAAGTATTATTTTTCAAATATGTAAAGTGAAAAGTTTTTTTAATACACTGGAATTCGCATATCTTACTATAATGATTCGCACATTAATTAGTTTCAGAAAGCACGTGGAATGTTTTTATTGCGGACAAGTGACCTTTCATAACTTTATATGTGTATATGAACTTTTATAATATTCCGCCAGCGACTTTTTTTTCATCATTTTTTACGCAACACATATGCCAAAGTACGATATAAATAAATACAGTATCACATAATTCATCTAGTGTATCCAACGCGATCTCTGGGGATCAATCTGAGTTCCGCGCCGTATTTAAGAAATACAGTTCCTGAAAGTACAAATTCGTATCAATCGATACTCGTATATTTCAAATAAAGAGATGTATTATGCAAAATTTACCTGCAGTTTGTTGAGGATTAATTCCTATGCCATCGTCCGTAATTATGGCCGACGTAGCTGGCGGCACTCTAAATTCCTCAGCAGCGAATTTTAACACGGCAGTAAACGGAGTATTTTCCGGTACACTAAGTCTGCAATCAATAAAATAATACATGTGTTTTCGCATTTCACGAGAAGCTGGCAAAATTGTATAACTGGGGGAAGCGCGCCGTTTCAAAAAGTGAATACAAAAGTGACTTCGCCTTTCTCATAACGTTTTAAATATTCAATACAGAATCATTTCGTTAACAAAACAGCTTGATATGCGGTGAAAAATTTTTTTATTCTTTTTCGAACACAAATTACATCGTATAGAGCGATACAAAGTATAGTTTATATCATAGAACGTATGAAATCTGGCAAATCAATTCAAGATATCAGCCTCAACATCACTCCATATCTCGCTGTCCGGTTGAGTCTTAACAGTCGATATTCTATTGTACACCCGCTCGCGAATTGCGCAGGGACCGTTCAGCAAGATTTTCACCGTCTGGCAGAGGTGCTTGTACTCGAATTTAAAATTTGAGCACCACTTCCCATCTACAAGATACATGTTTCGGCCGAAGTAGAATATCGCGTCAACGAAATCTACGTAAAACTGAGAGCTGTCCTGAAGTAATCTCAAAAGCGACTTCTTTTCAGTGTCCGCTAAAGCTACGCATACTTCGGGATCATAATCGGTCAGTTTCGGAGCGAAGGATTGTACAGCTAATCTCGTGATCGTGTCGTCGTGCGACTCGACCGTCAGGTGCACCAGTTTCGAAATGTGGCCCTCGTTCAACATCTTATCTATGCACTCCGCTACTTCATCCCGATCGCCATTAACTACCGCCAATTGCCACGACATGATTAACGCCTCGTCTTCCATAGAAGACAACGGTACTCCTAACTCCATTAAAGATTCTACAACCGTGTTTACAGCAACGGAGCTGCTCATCGTCTCGCTCAGGAAGACGGTCAATCTGTCCTGTCCGCAATGTTGGGCGTACAGCTTTAGATATTCGTCCACTACCTCCGTAGAAATGCGACTGTCCTTCAAGTAATATTCTAACAATCTGTCACAAGCCTTCTCCAGATCGACACACGTGACGGGCCGATTCTGCGGAGGTAACTTTCGCTCTAGCTTCAAACTCAGGCATTTCTCGAAGAGCAACTTTTTGTCCTCGGCTAGCGCCTTGGCGACGGCGAGCTCGACGACACGAGCGCAGTTGAAAGCTTGCGTCGCATTCTCTACGGTCATTTGCTCGCCAACGACCGGGTTCTGCAGCAGCGCGAGGAACGCGTCGACGGTCTTAAAGAGGTCAGAGGCGGCGGCTTGCATGTTATTTTTTTACGCTATTAATATACCATGTTCTGGTCTAAGCAGCCACTTACACTTTGTATGGCAGATTAGGGTCGGACGTGAGAGTTATCCTGAATGTGACTTTGGACCTGCAACACGTTTAAAACTTTCATCGATATGTTGTATGTACAAGCGCTCTACTTAGGCTGCGGTCAAGCTGCCGCTGCAAACGCTTCGAAGCGTTTCTCCTCTCTTTCTGTTTTTACTGAAAGAAAAGAGAAGACGAATGTTTCGTAACATTCGAAGCGACAGCTTGACCGCAGCCTTAAACTGACAGGAAAACATATGGTTTCCTGAATCGTATTCACGATTTTTGTTGTTATAGTCAAAATGTCACGTTTACTGTAATTTATCAAACTTTTGCAGAAGATACGTACGCCATAATTGTTTACACATGGAATCAATGCTGTATAAAATATGACAGACAATAACAGTCGTTCCAATATGCGAAAAAATTTGAGATCGATTGCAATGTCCAATCCAATGAAACTTGCAACCTAACCTCTATTACGCGGGCACGGCAGTCACGGCACGGTAACCATCATGACGGTAACCATTGATCGTATAAAAAAGTAGAGAAGTATAGTGTAGTGTCCCTAGAATAGAGAGTCCGGCAAAGGATGTGTTCGAAAATGGATTTAGTTACTGCCAGTGAAAACAGTATAGTTGGTAGCAATGAAAATTACTGGTGCTGCGTTTTTCGCACGCCAGTAAAGTCAGTAAGGCTGGGAAATTGACCAATCACAGTTCATTATTCGACTTACGACATCCAATGTAGACCCAGCCTCACTGACTTTACTGGCGTGCGAAAAACGCAGCACCAGTAATTTTCATTGCTACCAACTATACTGTTTTCACTGGCAGTAACTAAATCCATTTTCGAACACATCCAAAGTCGTAGACCTCTTTTCATTGGGTCTCTGATGGGATGGGGAAAAATGGCGGAACCAATCAATACGACGCGCGAATGCACACACATTCAAACAAGGATTCAGAAATATAATAGAAGACAAGATGTATTCGATGCTACATTTATTATAGATACATCCAAGGATACATCAGTGTTATAACACATAAATATCTACTTTACAAAAGTATAAAAACTATAAATATCTACTTTACAAAACAATAAAATGTAAAATAAAACATTATAAAATAGAATGCATCGCCATCGTTTTACTGTCGTATGTTTTTCTCAATACTTTCCTTTTTGTACATGAAATGCACATTCTGTATAAAATGAAACGTTTCATTATTGTCGTTGGCAATTTATGACAACATTTTATTACAAACAACATCTTTCATTTTATACACTGGTCAAAAAAATTAACGCAACAAGAAACTTACATCAAAATTTGGCGAATTTCAAATAAGCGTAACTTCGCGAAAACTGGTCGAATTGAAAAGTTTTTTTTTCATTTTATAGGGCAAAGCCTCTACTTTAAGAAGCTCTTATTGGAATTTGCATTCACTCTTCCCATTTCCCGGAACTTTCTCAAAATCACGATCATGTTTTTTCTCTAAAAAATTGCACACTTTGACGCACTGTGCGGAGTGTAGTAATTTTTCTTCGCCAGTTCTGCTTACGGTATCAAAAAATCTATACTTTTCTCTTCAATTTAAAAAAAAAGAAGTTCCTACGATTTTTTTCGCCAAATCACAGCTCATTGAAATAACCCTTGTGTTTTCGACATTACCAACGATATCTCCGTTAAAAATCATCGTAGCAAGATCTTTTTTTAAATTAAAGCTTGCACTTTCAGCTTCAAAAACTAGTCACCAGATTTTTTCTCGAATGCATCTGCGCTGCTGTAGCTTTTAAAATGTAAGGACATGTACGTTTTTACCTAAAAAATAACCAACTTTGGCCAGGTGCCCGGGCGTAGAAAATTTTTCCTCGCTAATTCTGCTCGAAGTATCAAAAAGTGTGTACTTTTCCTTTCAATTTAAAAACACGCACGCACGGACATTATTAAAACC